AAAAAAACACAATAAATAATTTAGATTTAATATTTTTTGAAAACCCACAAAACAGTGAGTCCCCAAAGAGTGAACAGCAAATTAGCGAAAGGCTACTATAGTTATAAAAATTTAGGGCCAAAAATGTCTGAATTTTTCAAAATTAGCAAAGCTGAGGTGAAAGGCATCTTAAAGTACATAACTCCTTTTACTAGTAGTATTTCTATGTTGAGAGACATGTTAAGACATACTTACGCTAATCTGGTCCTGCACAACAATCAGTTCAGAAATGTTACTACTACAGTAGAACAATTTTTAACCACAAAGAAAAAGATACACTGCCACATTAGCTGATTTTTGTTCTCTTTGAATTTAATGAGTTTACATCAAAAATGTAGGTAATCATTTTACATTTAAGGAATAAAAATCTTTTTTAAAAAAAACAATACAAAGAGTGAAAGGATTTTAGCCAAATTTATACTTTCTGCTATGCTTTTTAACAATTCATCTCATCATATCTTATTACAATGTGCAAAAGCATTTGCAGCACCCATTACAATCATGATACTAAATTTAAGGAAGTAAATATGCTGTTGATAGTAGCTCTCAGAGGAAACTGGCTTCCATCTATTAAAAACTCTACAGTGTACAGAAGCATTAATACTATTAACTAACCACCTATTGTCTTAAGAATCATCACCAAAGTTTTCTGGAAATAAGTCTTCATAAGAATTAAATATTTAAAAGGTGCAATGTTCCTTATTTTAATTTTAGCAAGATCTTTACCCTTTTTTCATTGCTAAGAAACATTTTAATAGTTTTAAAGCTTAGACTGCTAAGAGTCGAGAAAGCTAAAATTTATACTCCTGAGTTCGAGTTTATGATAAATCTTTTATACATAATTCTGGTTTTTATTTTTTTGTTGTTTTGTTTTGTTTTTTTTTTAACCAGGAATCAAACTCAGGACCTCATGCTTGCCAGGCAGGCACTGTGCCACTGAGCTAAATCCCCAGCCGCAAAGTAAATTTCAATAAAATATCCTCCCTCCCCAGCCCCTGCTCCAAATCTTGCATTATTTCTTACAAAACTTTGGTCAAGAGTAGAAATGTACCCAGGCAGATGTATATGCCATACAATAGCAAGAACGATAAAGCCCAACTAATTCCTTTGGGTTTTAAAAATAGAAGGCAATTAAAATGTACTCAAAGTTACATTAAAAAAAGCTTTCATGGGGTAATATTCAAACAGTCACAAAGGTTAAGAAAATACTAATATCAAAGTACAAATGACTACAATGTTAGAGTAGACAAAAACTACTATACAAGAGCCTCTTCTAAAATTAAAAATAAAGAACACAGCACATGAGTCAGGATGAGTTTCCTGTTCTACTCATGAATTTGAGTCCTCGTATCTATAAGGTTGGTTATGTGGCCATCCAGCAGTTTCTTCTGGCATCTGATGACATCTCATTCCAGCTCTGTAGGGCAGATCTTCTCCAAGGAACCTCTTGATCCAGAGCACACCTGGGTCATTGCACAATTTCAAAATAGTGCAATATTGCCATGATGTGCTGGGGGATGAAGACATATCCAGTGTACAGTGCCATGCCCACGACCGAAACCAACATGGAATCTGAGCTGTAGTTAAGGAAACTAGTTTTCTTAAAAAAAAACATAAAACCCACATCTAACAATTATTTTATGTTGAAGTATCCATCACATATATTTCTCACGTATTATTATTTATGATAACCTAATAAGGAATGACAATTCTAACCACTAGCAATCATGCCTAGCAGTATTCTCAGGGTTTGGGTTTTTCTGCCTGGTTGATTGGTTAGTTGGTTTGTTGTTTGTTTGTTTGTTTGTTTGTTTGTGACAGGGTCTCGCTATGCTGTTTGGGCTGGCCTTGTAGTCATTTTTTGCAACCCCCAGGCTGGTCTTGAACTTGCAGTGATCCTCCCTCCTGTCTGAACCTCCCAAGTGCTAGGATTATAGGCATGTACCACTACGCCCGGTTTCAGGGCCAATACGGTGCACCTGGGCCTGGGGATTAAACTGGGAACCTTACATTTGCCAGGCAGGTGGCTTGTGCCTCTGAGCTATCTCCCCAGCCACAGTTGGTTTGTTTAAGTTTAGATATCATCAGTTTATTATAAAAGAGACATGGAAAGTATGTACATGATGAAACACAGCAGAACTTCAGTGGAATGGGCAGCACTGTGTAATGCCATTTCAACAGTGATTTATTTCACTCTATGGATTTTCCAAGAATGTCACCATCTCTAAATATGAGAAGTAGAACTACTTTATCATCTAGAACTACTTTGGTGCCTCTATATTCTGGAAGAACTTTATCTCCAACTTTCACACTAACTGGTTGCATCTCTCCACCCTTTCCCTTAGAGTGGGACCCCACTGCTACCACACTTGCCTGCAGCACTTTGCCTTGAGATTTTTCTTTTCTGGAAGCATAATGCTTCCTTTGGTGACAGTTTTGGCTGAGCTCCTTTCAACCAATATGTGGTCAAACAGCGGGAGAAACTTTCAAAACCCCTGTCCTGCCCTGGCTCCTACCCCACAGCTCACTCCACTACAGGCCAACCCTGTTTCTCTCAGTTTGTTTTTAGGCTCATTTTATCTTCATTATTACCACACAAATTAGGTCCTATTACTCTCCCTGTTATAGTTAAAAACATCAGCCTGCTTAACTAAGAAATGCCTTTTTTGAATGAAGAAACAAATGCATGAAACAAATATGTAGTTATTAACTATAAAAGATTCACTAACTTAAATAGCAATAAAAAGACTGAATAGCAGTGGCACACAAACAGATGTAAAGATCAAGTGAACAGAATAGGGGGTACAGAAACAACCCTACACATATTCAGAGGCACCTGATACTTTATACTTTACTGTTCTTTATTTGTATGGTGCTGGGACTAGAACTTGGGGCCTCGGGGATGTTGGGTGAGTGTGCTACCACTGAACCATACCCCAGCTAGAGCCAGCCACCTGATATTTGACAAAGGGTCCAATAAATATACACTGGAGGAAAGACAGTCTCTTTAATAAATGATACTAGGAAAACTGGGTATCCACATGCAGAAGATTAAAGAACCATATCACACACCATCTACTAAACAAAAATCAAAACTGAATCAAATCATTTAGTTTTAAATACAAAAACTGAAGCGGGCCACTGTGCCTTACTCTTGCATGGTAGCCTGCCCTCAGACTGAAAAGTGTACTTCTCTTCCTACTTTTACCTGGTCCAAATTCGCTCTGAAGAACCTGTTTGCTTTCCTGCCTTTAATAATAGTTTGCTGAATAAGCGCTTCCCCAGCAAGCGCCAGGGCCTGAGTTCAATCCTTGGTTCCGCCAAAAAAAAAAAAAAAAAAAAAATAGAACTGACAATAATAGTTTGCTAACATTAAAGAAAAATAAAAACAGAAATAATCTACTGGAATATAAAATAGGCAAAATTCCTGAAAGAATAGGCATAGCCAAAGGCTGAACAACTGCAAAAGAAATAACATCAAAAATCAACAAATGCAGCAATTAACCACTGGGAAGAATGTATGCAATGTGTTGATTATTGAAACTGTCCCACCAATTTGATTTGAAACCATCTCATTGCTATTTGTTTATCAATAAAATTATGGGGAAAAAAAGTCAACAAATGGGATCATGTCAAATAAAACATCTGTAAAGGAAACAATCAACAGAGTGAAGAGTCAATCTACAAAATGGGAAAAATATTTTTGCCAGCTATTTCTTAGACAAAGGACTAACATCTAGAACATAGAAAGAACTCAAAAAGCTCCCAGAGTCCCAAAATAAAAGAACTGATCAAAAAAATAAACAGACACGTCTCAGAAGAAATACAAATGCACAGTAAATACATGAAAAGATTTGTTGATTGTCTCTGGTCTTCAGAGAGACACAAAACAGTATTAAATCCCATCTTACTCCAGAAAGAATGGTTATCATCAAGAAATCAAATAAGAACAAACTCTGGAGAGGCTGCAGGGAAAAAGGAATGCTTCAATTTTGCTGGGATAAATGTAGTACAACCAGTATGGACACAACAACATAGAGAGTCCTCAAAAAACTAAAACTAGAAATTTCATTTGAATTTCTATTCCTTTTCTGTCTTCCCAGAAGAGTCAGACATCATTACAGCGATGCATGCACACCCACGTTTGTAGCAGCACAACTCTTCACAGCTAAATCTTGGAAGTGGCCTAGCCTACATATCCATCAGGAGGTGAATGGATAAAGGAAAGGTATTTATACACGAGGTACTGTTCTGCCATAAAAAAGTATAAATGAGTCATTTGTAGGAAAACAGATACACCATGACACACGTCAAGTGAAATAAATCAGACACAAGCTTAAATTCCAAATGGTTTCTCTTATCGGAGAAACCCAAAATATAAGTAATTAGAGCAAAATAGTAGATATAAGAGGAAAGGAAGTAAAGCTTTCGCAAAAGGGAAGACAACCAAGAGACAGAGGTACAGGGGCTGGGGCTTTGATCCCCCAGGCCTGCCATGCTGGCCCCGCCCCCGGAGTGAGCAGAGACAGCAATTGAGACTGGGCATGGTGGTATGCATCTGTAATCCCAAGCTCTTGGGAGGCTGTAAAGAGGCGGATCGCTAGGAGTCCAATCATAGTGAGACCCTGAACACCCTTTAGACCCTTCCCTAAAATAGAGAGAGAGAGAGAGAGAGAGAGAGAGAGAGAGAGAGAGAGAGAGAGAGAGAGAGAGAGAGAGACAGAGACAGAGACAGAGACACAGAGACAGTAACAGAGACAGAATGGGAAGGGATAAGAGGGGAACAGAATGAAAAAAGATATGTTATATGTTTAAATATTGCATTATTTCTCTGGTACAAGAAACCAAAAGTATAAGGATCAAAATGTGTAATAGCTATTGGGAAATGAAAAGAAAATGTTCAAATGAGAAGGGGAACAAGGGAGGAAGGAGGGGGAAAAGAAAGAAGAGGCAAGAAAGAAAAAAGGACAGAAAGAAAAAACAGAGGCCAGGGGTGGTGGTGCACACCCATAGTACCAGCACTCAGGAGGCTGAAGTGGGAGGATTATCACGAGTTCAAGGCCAGGCTGGACTACATAGCAAGACTCAGACTCAAAAAATGACAACAAAGCTTTTGTAAATAATGAGGGGAAGAGGCATTGCAGTGGGGGGGGGGGGTAAGAAGTAAGATACATTGTGGGAAGCACAATAACTCCAGGCCTCCAATCCTATTGCAAGTGGGTTTCCGGGTTCCTCTTCCTCTACCTCTGCTGAGCTAAGCGCCTAGTTCTTTTACACCACCTATTTCCCATAAGTCTCCTGCTATGCCCCAGAGGTGGGACTTCCTGTCATAGCCCGGTTGCCTAGTTACTCACCCCTTTTCCCCGCCGATGTCATTTCCCCATGCCTCCACTATATATACCCAGCACCTCCCCTGAATAAAAGAGACTTGATCAGAATTCTGTCTTGTCTCCATTTCTCACGTCTCCTGTCCTTTGTCCCCTCCTCAATTCCCCGCTCCTCCCCCAGGTGACCTTCGTTGACTAACCCGCGGGTTGGGACAATACATCATGTATAGGTACTAATGTATATCTAAAATGTACCAATATGCTGGGTGTGGAAGCCTGTAATTCCAGCACTTGGGAGGCTGAGACACAAGAAACTCCAGAGTCTGAGACCAGCCTGGGCTATATGAGTTCAAAGCCAGCCTGAATCTCTATAGAAAGACCATGTCTAATACAAACATACATATAGACAGACACACATACGTGCAAAATAAAAAAGAAAACATTTAAATTAAAAATAACTAATATGTATTATATACAAGTACCAACTCCCCAAGATAAATGTAATCATGATGTACTGCAAATGTGTATTAATAAAAATTCTAAAAATAAAAGGTCATTCTGGTATCCTATACAATAACCACACTATACTGTGGTTTTTTATCCTTATTCCAAAATGAAAACTGAAACTGAAACTATATACACAAGTCAACACAGGGCCACATGGAGTACCACTAACATAAATTATGTAACATCCAAGGACCTTTGGTTTTGCAAAGCCACAAAGCAATGCTAAGAGAGAAATAAAATGCTTCGGAACTAGAGCTGTTTCCTTTTCTCTTTCTTCTATATTTTTTCCCATTGGCTAACATACCTTTCGGCTATACAGATTACTATTCTACAATAGCTTACATTTTTAAGAGAAGTTAGGGTTTAAATAAACAATGTGCCAACTACCTAATATTTGTAGAGCAGTTTAGCTGACAAATCTCTTGTGTATAATATTATCTTGTTTAACCTGTATAGTGTTCTTATAAAATGTTTATTACGGTCATTACTCATCAGCGACTGATGAGCGACTTGTCTGGGACCACAAGACTTGTCTGGGACCACAAGAGACGCTGTCTCTCGAGCAATAACTCAAACTAAACCTCAAACTCTAAATTCATTCCATTTATGGGCCAGAGATGGGCAAAAAGTCATAATCATTTGAATCATTTCTTACACTTTAATTGCCTTAGTCTAGTTCTTCCTTAAACTCCACCTTACATTTACCACCTAATTTACATAAAAGAAACAAACCTCCCA